GTAAATGACTTTGGGGAACTAATCAACATGAGACTGCTTTTTCCAGGAAATATAATGAATATGTGAATCATGACATGTATAAAAACACCTCCCTCTCACGAATTGGTGTGCATGTTAGGTGGAAGAATTCCCCATGCACCCAGCACCGAGTAAAGAATGCCTGCTCTTTAATACTACATTGGCATTAAAAAGAGTTCTTTCCCCCACTTTTTGGTAACAACAGCACCAGCATAAGTGAATATATTTCACCTGCCTCAAATGAAGGCAGCACCCTTCAGTTTGGGAACCACAAAACATAAGGAACAGGATGGGTAGAAACAATCACAGAACTTCAGTGTAACCAGACAATGAAAAGGTTTGGCAAAACTACCACAGAAATCACTAGTAAGTAGTGTAGATTAAAATCCTGCTATAACATGGTCTTCATACGATAGGGCCAAAAAGGACAAATGAACAAAAAGGACAAATACACAGCTAATATAAAGGCCATCTAGAAAGGGAGAACAGGATAGTGCTCCAGGCAAAACTTTGCCCTACCTGTGAGATAAAACAGCACATCAAGGTATAAATCACGTAATCATTAAATCCATGTTTAAGCCACTCAGATGAATAAATGCAAGTTTTTCACTGTCACAGACTTCATTACCATTACATGGCTTGGTCAGCTTGCTATGCACCCCTACCTCCACAGAGGAGGAATAAAATTTCATTCATGACATAATTCTGTAGTAACTCTTATGAGTACCTTACAGAGCACTTCAGAAATACCTTTTCCCATAAAATCAGTCATTTTGGGGAATTTAAGTGTAATGTAGGAACCTGGGTTAATCTTATGAAATTACTGGTTCATTTTACCCATTCACAGGCATATGTTGTCACTGTAATCTGTGCCCAGATCAAACAGCTCATGCTTGTTTAAACCTTAAGTTTGCTCTTGAATGGAAGCACTATGGAAACTAGCCCAACTAAGTTTACTTAAAGATGATTTGTCATCTTGATCATCTTAACTCTGAAATACAAGCTCTCCAAATAACCAAGACTGTGTACAATTGTAATTACACAAAACTAGTGAGGTGTATGCACCTCATTCATACAGCTATCTAACAGAATAGAGCATGACATCAATTCACATATAATTAATTTTGAATGTAAACATTGCTTGGACAGCAAAAAGGCCATTTGTGCCTTATGGTGCATTAAACAATTGTTTACTGTTTAAATGAGCACCAGAGCAGTTTTTAGCTGACATTGCTCTCCACAGGGTAATAATCACATCAGGCTCAGCCCAAGGAATGTACACATTTAGACCAGAATAGTTCCAATTGGAAGGGACTTACAATGATCATCTAGTCCAACTGTCTGACCAGGCCAGAGTAGACTGAGTGCAACCATATGATTGGGTTAATGTCAACATAGTGGTGACACTGTTTAATTTAGGTCTGATTACTTTCTATGCCTTACTAGTCACCCACCTCCAGAGGAGGGACTGATAAGAGGGACTTCAAGGAGACATATTGTTACAAGGAAGATAATAAGGACAGAAGAATGCTACTGGCCTGAAGTCAGCAATAATCCACAGTAACTGGGGTAAAGGTAAAAGAAGCAGGGGGAGATGACAACCACCGACTTGATTGAGGGTCTATACAAATTTGCCCCCACCACCTGTAAAGAGCATGTGTGCTGATTTACACGGCAAGCAAAGCTAATTTAAATATCACAAGCCAATAGCAAGTGATATGGTGATCACTAACCAATGAACATAAATTTGGGTGGGTTTTCCATTGTTTCTGCTAATCATGCAACAGGATAAATACACTGTAATTCCTTCCTAGCTAGCTTTGTGGAATTATCCCCTAGCACCCAACTTTGTGCAAACATGAAATAAATAAATATCTTGTCTCTGTGTGTAAGATCAGCTTATTGCACAACGGGTACCGGACCTCCCTTGTGGGAACACACCAGGGCTAAGCAACAGTTAACGTGTTAAAGACATCGTCCAAATGCCTCAAACACTGAGAGGCTTGGGGCATTGGCTACATCTTTAGGAAGTCTGTTCAGTGTTTGACCACTCTTGCAGTAAGGAAGTTTCCTAGGAATTTCCAAACTAAGAGGCTGTAACAAATGGTCTAGTTGTTGGAGGAAAGACAGGACTCCATCCTAATTAAGGGTTAGGAAATCCTTGGGTCAAAACCAGATCTGAATCCAAATGTCTCCAAAGATGAGTCTGGGGCATAGAAAAAGAAACTGTCTTTTGGAATCAAGACCACCTTCCATGACCACAGCTCAGTGACATAGGATTATATCTAGATCATCAGCCATGAAACTATGAAAACTAAAGAGCTTGTCATCTGAACCACGGACAACAAGTGGATTCTTCAGGGCTCATTTAAGGAACAGCTACACTTTAAGCATGAATACTCTCCTGGCATTTTCTTTCCAACACTTCACAGGTACCTTTGGTGTACTCATTCTTTAAACCTGGACGGTAGTATACACTTGGAGCTCTCAACATTCTAATCCTACCCTGCAGATTGTATGAAAAACAACATTGATAATTGTTCGGAGACGAGTAAAGGGTCAAAGAACAGTGTCATTAATGGACCAGTTTTAACTAAAGAGAAGTTTTTTTATGCAGCAGGATGGTAAGGAACATGTTTAGACCCCAGCAGATCAAGAACCATTAGAAAGATCATTTGCAGCAACAGGATTCTTCTAGAAAGAAAATAGAAGTCTGCCCGCTAATATGGTCTCTAGATTGTAGACTGTTCCTTCCCACTGCCCTTTCCAGGACAAAGAAGAGTAAGAACAAAGAAAAGATATTCATAGTAAAGGATAACATGAAACAGAAAGGGATGAACTTACGTAACAGAAGGACCTACTTTAAACACAGGACCTACTAAGGCAGTAGAAGTGAACTGTTCAGACCAGTCAGACTTAATCTATTTGACAGATGTGCCATGTGTCAAACTCCACCACAGAGATGCTCTATTTCTACTCAGGACTTCCTGAACAGAAATAGGCTAGAGCAGGGAAATACCAGACTGAGTGTAGAAGCACTCCACACTGTACGTAATTGTTACATGCACAGCAAGCCCAACCCTTACAGACAGCACTGGATTTATGGCATACGTACAGACTAAAGAAACAGTAAAATCAACATTTTTAAAGACATTAAAAATGAATGTTTGAGATTCCAGACTTAGGGCAGATAGATGGGAGCTACTGCATTTGACCTTGACAATACTTATCATTTTTTGTTGGCCTAATACTAGATGAGAACTGAACTTCTTTCAAAACATTTGTTGTCTGTTTAAAAACTGCAGGTTGCAAAGTCTTGGGATCATTAATGCAAGTAGGAAGCACACCAGCGACTTGTAACTACTGAAGAAAAACGTTGTTAACAAAAGGAAAGTTTTATAACTGGAGGTAAAGATGCCAGTTTTCTTATCAATCTATCATAAACTCAATCTGCATGTATTTTGCAAATATTGGTTCAAGATATCTTGCTTCAAGATTTTACCAAAGTTCAGATTTGGAACAAGGAAAAACCACATCAGAAAAAGTGTTATGCTACAGTGAAAACTAAACTCACTGGAAATACTGATTAAGAAACAATCTCCCAGATGGATTCTCTGGTGGTTACAAATTCACATGTCAGCTTAAGGTATACAATGAGAAGTAATCCAAAAAGCCCCTAAAACAACTCACAAGATTTCCATTAAAGTGAAGCTACTGTTCTATTTCTTTTCATGCCAATGAATTTCATTTCACCCTTCAAACTATATTTATCAGATAAGAAATTGTTCCTTCTCCAAAACACTGCTTAAATTAAAACACCAGTTAAATTAAGTACACTTCAAAAACTGTGAAATGTTTCTGTTTGGAAAGTGTTATTATCAACACTGTGCATTATTAGTAAAAACGATGAACTGGAACTTAAAAAAATGCCCTGATACTAGTACAAAAATACAGCTAATGCTGTCACTAAGATGTGACACAAAATCATTCCTTGAGCTAGCTATAGGTAGTTAAAATTATCACTGTAACTGGACAAAGTTTACATACATATTCATATAAATCAACAAAGAATAAAAGCAAAGAAGTGATAGAGGTAGTTAGGGATGAAGGCAGTATTTCCTACAACATAGTATGACCCACAAAATCCAAATCTCAGCCTTTCAGATGCTTGGAGATGTTTTTAAGGGAGAAGCCACTACCTGAGTATTCACAGACCAATCAAGGAGTTACACACACCACCTGAGACTTTAACTACTAGGATCAGAGTCCCTCTGCAGTGGGAGACTCCAGTGAGCTGTCGGGTGCCCCTTTCAACTCCCCACACTCACTCACTGTCGGGCACACCCTTTTCCCTCAGCCACAACCCTAGGTTTACCAAAGCAGAGTCTCTGACATGAAATACATATGCCAAATGAATGTATTAAGTGGTATGGTGGCGATGAACAGCTTGAGCTGGGTGCCCCCAGAGAGGGACCCTGAACAGAAGAATCTCATGGCAATTATACCCTTACAATCTAAGTTTCCCTCCCCTTACAAGACAGTTCAGTCCAATAGCGATATTTGGGTCTGGGGTTTTCTTGTTCCTCACTGGATTCTTTCACTGTCTCCAGGTGAGCCGTTCTTTTCTTTTCTCGAGGAGGCAACTTCTGCTGATGAAGGTGGCTAACTTATCTTCCTAATTTACAGCAATTTCGGGGCCTTCCCTCATGTAACTAAGAGTTCAGTATAAGTTCATCAGTATGTAGGTAAAAGTTCACAGCTTGCAGCCTAAGGCTTTTTACTAATGCTATACAATGGATTCCACCTGAACTAAGAAGTGACTCCTACAACAATGCTGCTTCTCCTACAGTAGGAGTAACATGTATTACTCCTACTGATTGAATAATATTCAAAATAACAAGTAAATTAAAGTTAAAATTATGCATTAGTGAGGACAAAAGAAAGACTGAAAGAACAAGGTGTAAGTAAAATAAACTGCTCACCATTAAAAGGTATTCCACTGCTCTGTCAGGATTGTTGAAGCTGGCCCTCAGTGCTGCAATTACTTGCTCTCGTTCGTAGCCCATTGACATGATCTCAGTCACCATATTCTCATAGGACTGACCTGTCACTAGAAGTAACATGACCACCGTTTTAGGGGAATAAGGCAAAAAAGGCACAAAAAAGTTTCAATGGATAAATTTCATTTCTATCCAGATTGGAGTCATTCATTGAACAGTAAAGAATAGCTCATATTAAATTTGCCATGGTTCTGTTACTTTAACTCCAAAGATATCCTGGTGGTTTCATTATACATTTGATTGTAATAGTAGAGAGTAATGAACACAATGCAAACTTCTATTGAAAAAAGCAGCACTTGCGATACTTCTGTACTTGTAACCAAAATCATTCCCTCTCTATACTCTCATCTAAGGTCAACAGCATCCTCACAGCTCATGTTCAATTCCTGATGTAATCAAGAAAAGTCTCCTGCAGTGTAAGTTTGGAAATTAAACTTTCTAGGCAGAAATCTGCCTGTCAAACTGTTACCCATTAAGGTTTTTCCAAATAAAGACATGCTATGGCTAAATTGATGACAAATAGTGATGACCAGGCTACAACTGTATATTGCTACATGCTGATGATGAAGATCAAAGTCATTTAATCAACTTAACATGGGCAAACTCAAGTCAGGCAGAAGACTTAAAGTTATATGTAGGGAAGTTACTCAAGACTTCAATGGGGGTTCAAGAGATCAAGTGATCTCATTTAATTCATGTGTATTTGACTAGACATCCATCACATCAAATCCCCCACCTCTACAGCATAAATGGACTGAAGCTGGCCCCCACCTGCAGCCATTAAGACAAAACGGTACACACACTGTATATATGGAGCAATTTAAGGACAACTGATCACTATGCTAATGACATCGTAGGGAATATTATTCTTTCTTTCCATAATCTATTTCACTTCTCTTTCTTAAAAGTAGACAGCAGGTTTAACAATTCAAAACAATAACTATTCTATTATAAAATAGTAATTGAGCAACATCTTTAAGGTTATCTTCCCATACAAAAAACAGAAAGAAAACAAACCCATGCATTGAAATAAACATCCCCTTTCTTCAAAAAAGCTATTTCTGACCTCAGTGGAACCCTACTACTGACTCTGTAACGCTAGCAAGTTAGTGTCAGGATAGTTAAATAATTAGCAGTCACCATAAAAAACAACAAATAAAAAAAAAGTACAGGAAAAATACTGCTAGAGCTACTCTGTTAAGACAAGTCAGTCACAATTAAAAGAACCAAAGGAAATATCAAGTTTTATTCCCTTAGGGAGAAGGTGTTCAACTCAAGCCAACATTAATACAACCACATTGCTTTGTTTTTAAAGAATGCTTCTAAGTAATCAGTGGATATATGACTGAGGGCAATATACTCAAAAACAAATAATAAAACAGCCCTAGCCCAAGGATACTTGTCCATTATCCATAAAGATAAATAATGGATTTAACGACCCTTGACTAATTTTAGTATTTAATGTTCTGACTTCAAAATAATAGTGCTAACCTGAGTTTAAGGAATGGTAAGTTCATGTCTTCACATACAACTACAAGATCAATCATTTTACATCTACTTCCATTTTTTCACAGACATAAAAAAAATCCTCGCTCTAAAGACACGTTATTTCTGTATATAACTTCAGAGACACAAAAATTGTCCCAATACAGTGATTTTGCTAAACTTACTGCTCATGTTCTTTCTTACACATCACTAGTTCACCCTTACTATTGCTAACAAACTAATCAAGGTAAACAGCAGACAGAACACCTTCTGACCTAATTAGTTACTACTTCAAACATTTCTAGTAGTGCTCTTTCAGTATAAGATATGTAGAGACTAGAGCAATATGAGAGATTTGGTACAGAAAAAAAGATGCAAGGTCAACTTGCTCTGGACAGACTGCTTCTAAGCCAAAGAAGGAAACAGAATTACTGCAAATTTAGGCACATGTACCCTATATACAGTCTAACTACACAAGTAATGTAAAATTAAGACCAATAATATTTCAGGAATTGCACACCAGCAATGTCATGTTACAGAGCTAGGTCTATCTCTACATGGTGCTACTAGGAATGTTGGTGAGATGAATGCTGAACTGATTCTACTGTTCGTTTTTGACTTTCAAATAACATTTTAAAGCCAGATTAACTTTCAAATCCAGCTCATGACACTCAATGCAATAATTCTTGTCCCATGCCCTAAAGAAAGCATAGGCTGCTCCAGTGAAAGACATGGTTGCACAGGAACTGCAATATCTGCAGATCTTCATGTAGAACACAAAGTCACATTGTTTTTCAGTCAGCATATTTAACTGAAAACAAAAGCAATTCAGTAGAAACCAAGCGTTTTTAAAGTGAAGTCAATTATCTTCAGATAATGTAACTGAGAAGCCACAGCAAGAACATGCCTAGGATCCTACTTAGGATGTAAAAACATACAACATTAATTTCTGCAAGCAAATTCCTTTTAAGACAGTTTGTAAAGAAAAAGAACCACAGAGTTCATGCCTATTGCCTTTGAAAACTTTTTTGGCATATAACCCCTGCAGTGTGCTTACCCTGGAAATTACACTCAATGCCTGTTCTTTCCAACCTGTTAGTGACTCGTGAGTTTACTGTATCAGATACAAATCAAAGAACTTTCATATAAAATGAATAGTGAGGTGATGCTCTCCTGCTACATTGAAAGATTATTTTTTTTCAGATAACTGACTCAAGATCACCAGCTTACTTAAACTTGTTAGTCACTATTGTTAACATGAGTATTTGTGATGACCACATCTTGACTACTAAGGTATAATGAATGGTTAATGAGGCCTGCAGCATCTTTGGTAGCAGCAGTCACTTTAAAAATTCAACAGAAGTCAACTGGTTGTCTCCTACAGTATCTATCAGCTATTTAAGCTCACACATTTCTTCAGCCTAAAACAGTATGTCATAACATAAGACCTAAGCAGCAGTTAGGGAGACTAAACCTGGTGGTTACCACCAATACACGTAAGACATTACTACTGCTCCTAAATCACCTTGGCCTGCTTAATCACAACACCTGCCTCCAATATATCCACACAGCCCTAGACAAAAATGTGAAACTCTTTAATTAGTTAAACTTTCTGTACCAACTTGCAGCTTAATGTTTGCAGAGCTAAGACAAAATAAAAACCCCAACTCCCCCTTATTTCTGTGTTTTAATTTGTTACATTAAAAAAAAAAATCCCCCCACAAAAAATTTAAGCAGAAATAAGGAGGTGTGGGTTTGCCTAGTAACTACTTAGCTACCAGAATCAACATAAGTGAAGGGCAGAACTTTCTATTGGTTTTACCCTGTTTATTCCACTGAAAAACAAAGACATTTGAACTGTCAAAAGAAAAGTGAATTGAGTGTAAGTATATGGAGGCATTCACTCCTCAACCCAGCCAGCAGCAGATTTGGTGAATTTATCTAGTTAAATGTGTCAAAAGACAGCACTGTCAAAGCTGGAACAAGTGAATAACAAAGGCAGGCATTTTATCAGACCTGCACACTGGGAAGCAAAAGGTGAAAAGAAAAGCATACACATATTTATGTCCAGTCTTCTATTTAAGCCACTTCAAACTGAGTAGTTAGAAGAGAAATTAAGGCAAATGGGAAAAAACAAGGAATGATAAGGATCTTCCTTTTACATAACAAAAATATATGAAGTGAAATATTCTTCAGTAAAATTTTTGATGCTGGTTCTAAGATACCAACTTCAGGTCTTAAAGAAGAGTAATTCGATTATAACTTTTACAATGACAGATACAGAAGAGAATGTCAACATCTGCTAATCCGTCATTTGTTTCTGCTGCACCAAAATAATGTCTACATTAAAAAAACACTCCACTTACCAAGTGCACTTATAGCATCCTCAAAAAGATTTGATCGAGATGTATCACCTGTTGTACTGTAAGACGAAGACAAGTGCAATGGTAATTACAAAACTTTGGAAAACTTCCTGTTTTTCAAAAAAAGAAGCAGCAGCTATAACTCTAATAGCCCCTTTTGTTTCTAAAAAATGAACAAAGCTTTCCAAAGAGCTCTCTTTTGGTCTTATAGTGAGACCACGTTTTACAAACTTACAATACTACCATTTTTAACACAAGGCCGACCTCCCCCCCTACCCCCCAATAGCTTGGCTCTTGCCCATCTGCTCAGGGATTAGCCATCTGCTTGCTTGAATGCTTTAAAGGGTGGGAGAACAAGGTAGATTTTTCAAAAGCATACAGCAGTCTCAATAACTGCTTCCCCATAGACACTGGTTTGACCCCAGTGAGGACCAAAGGAGGTCAGTGGCAAGCACTTATTAATTTTTCAGTATCCTACTTTCCCAGGAATATAAACTGCTAACGTTTGCAATTACTCCATCTCAAGTTATCAAAGCTTTTAAATTACAGGATTAAAGGCTCACCTCCATGAACACCAAGGAACACAGAGGCACAACACCAGGCAGAGGAACCCCAGTTAACTCAGTCAGAGCCAAGGGTGCCCCTCTCCCGGCTCCTCCTCTGGGCTGCAACTTAAAGCATCAGCCTCTTCATCTCAGAATGACACCCCTAAGGGGTCAACAAGAGAGGCTCTCCAAGTCTCCTTACAGAGACTGCCTACAGGGTGGTGTAACTCACCATGGGGTGCCAGGAAAAAGTGTTCGGGGATTGTGCAAGACTTATTATGGGGTATCTAGGGGAAGAACCAAAGGCAGGGAAAGAAAGGGAAGCATCAAGGCACCCTGCAGATGAAAAGCATGGGTAAAGAGAGTGAAAAGAGGAGAGAAAGGGCCAGTCACATGTAAACAGCACTTGCCTGGCCATGCTCTGCACCTGAGCATGAGCCCATCCTGCCTTCTAATTAAATTCCATTTCTAACTATTTTTCATGCTAGGGGGTCTCTCTGTTCTACATGCATGTGTGTGTACGGAAGTCTAAGTGCCCACAACTGGATGGGGAACCATGAGTCACAGGGATCCACACATCTGTGGAGCCAGTGACTGCAGAGACCAGACACTGTGGAAGTCTCAGTACCAGCAACCGAAGAAGAGGCCACAGAGGAACATGCGCCTGGGGTGTTGACAACTGAAGAGACTAGAGCACGTGCATATTCTGTGTGGATGCATACGCCGACGTGTGTGTAATCACCAGCAAGCATCAAGCTTGACTACAGCGAGTAGGATAAGATGCTTGAGAGCTGGGTATTGAACAGCTGTAAGTCAAAGTCAGCTGCTGGAGAGACTGAATGGTCTGAGAGAGATAATGCTGGCAAGACTGTAACATCTGAGGGTCAGCTATGGTAAGGTCATAGGCCTCACCCAGCTAGTGGAGAGACCTGTTCCTGTGTCCATGAATGAAGCAACTGGGAGACCAGGGGATCTAGGGACTAACTACCAAGTTGAGTGAATGTCTACAGCCAGTTCCTGGATGGATCTTCAAAAAGAATGTATCAGCAACTGCAGCAGGGTTGCAGGGCTCAGGCAGTCACATGTCCAGGTACCAAAAGCCTGGGAGACTGGGAGATCTAGGGGCCAGCTATCAGAATAGCCTGTCTAAGGCCAGCTACTGGAGAAATTCATATTGTTCATTTGCATGTTTGTACATATGTATTTTGCACTAGTGGGCTTTGCCTTGAGTGGCCAGAGGGGAACAGCATGCAACTGCTGGTGTTGTGTCGTTGCTTGAGTGCTGTTTTTCTCCTGCCTCTGTTGACCTATGCAGCCAGACACACACACGTATATTACACACACACACACACATTTTGTGTGTAGGTATGGGAATACATATTCAGTCTTGATATTTGATAGACTTAGGGACATGGAATTGCAGCAGCCTCGCATCTATCAGGCTACCAGAGTCATCAACTCCTATCAGGAAATATCATCAGGTTAACCTGAATCAGTTTTCAGAAGATGCCACTAAAAATCTGACAAGGCATTTACAGAGATGCATTTTTTATGTTAGAAAAAACGTGTTCCAACAAGAATGCTTCATTAGTATCTGTAACCAATAAGATTTACAACTAAAAAAGATCAAAGGCAAAACAGGACATCAGCTTGCCTGGTCATGGCTCAATAAATCTTCACCAGCCTTAGTAATTTAACTTCTAAAGCAAATGAGAAACAAGGAGTGCTTACTGAAATCAAGGCAGGTGGTAACTACAATGTATTTGCTAAATTATTCTCTTGCTTTCAGTTAAGTATGTACACTGAGGCTCCCTTACTGCAATTTTACAACACTTCAATCTTTAGATGGAAAACCTGGAAAGCACTGTTTCAGTATCAAAGATTTAATCCTGTCTTTGAACCTACTGGACAAACTGAACAGCAAAAAACCCCACCTATTAACATTTAAAAAACCCAACCAAGTTATTTGACTGACATGAAGTTTCATGTGTATTCCACTTCCCAGAACTGCAAAATTAAATCATCAACTGGGATATTTAGTCCAATAAATTTGTGGTAACATTTTCAAGATATTAGGTAATTGCACATTTTGTTTCTTTATTATCAAATCAGTATTTGATGTTTAAATACAAACACTTCAAAAATTCATGTCTTGTGCACCAATATTCACATAAATAACACAAATAACTGAAAACCTGTGTATGAAAAATGAGAACTTGATGCTATGCTGAACTTCAAGGGCCATTAAGTTATAGTTAACAAACATTTTCATCCCATGTAATACTTAAGCAAACTTGGTGAGCAAAAAAAAAGCCACAGTATAAAAAGGGGATGAAAGATCTAAATTCCATTTGATTTTCTTAAATGTAGAGAACTGAGGTTAAAAGCTACTCAAACTCCCACAACTACCTGCAGATGGGCCAAGGAGCATTCAGAACAAATAAGCTTGCAGCTTTAAGACATTGTATGATTAAGAGCGATACTTTATCCTACATTTTGCAAGAAAAAGCTCTTTCCAGTAGTTAAGAGACTCTTACAGCAATAAAGAATTTATGGTTCACATCTAACTAGCATGATTCAAAACACAATCAGAGGTCTATGAACAGGACAGGACACATCTCTCTGCAGTCTTTAAAAGCTTTGTGAACAGTAGATCCCCACACAGGTGAATATCCTCAGTCTATAAATAAGCTTGTGCTACAGTAAGTCTGAAACACCTAATGGGAGCACAAGTTCTGTGTCACTTAAGTATTCAGTCTGTAGGTTTAGTCCCAAGATCACACTTCCCACAGGAGAAGGTGGGGAGGGACACTTCTTGCCATCAGTAATGTTATACTTGAGCCAGAGACTGAAGCTACAGTTAAGAAGAAAAATTATGTAGAACCAAGAGTTATTGATCTAACACTGTAGTGGAAAATTCAATTTAAAATCAAAACTGCAAGCAACAAAAATGGACAGGGAAGCCATTTTTGGAGGCTCATTCATACCTGTCAGTTGATGATGGGCTGACAGCAGTTGGTGCCTCAGGTGGTTTTTCTCCTGGCTCCTCTTCTTTAAGAGCACTCACAGGCACAGATTCACAAGCAACAGCATCTTGTGCTGGTGGTGGAGGGACAGGAGCTGGCACAGGGGCAGCAGCAGGCATTGGTGCAGCAGGTGGTGTGGGAGCTGCAGTTGTTGAGCTAATAGCAGTAGTAGCAGTTGACTGCTGAGTTGCTCCAGCTGCTGCTTTGGTCTATAGGAGGATAACAGAATTCAGACACAGCACAAAGCTCCTAAACCCATGCTGTCTGTAGTCAACACATTGACTAAGTTCTGTTAAGACCACTTGTGTTAGACATTGCTGCCTCAACATCAAACATAACATTAAAACATTGCAAGACATTAAACCTGTAACACCTTTTATTGTGTTTAAACAGGCAACTGACAGGGTCACTGAAGTACTTAGACACTTGAGCAATCACACTGTATGAAGTGAAATGCAAAGATAAGATATAAATATTTATTGACTGCATTACTCTAAACCTGAAAGCAATTTTGTGTTTTACAAAAGCACATTTTTCAGAAGAAACTAAAACAATTGTCAAAAGACATCTGACAAGCATAGCAAGCATGTTTTCTCACCACTCAAATTTGGAAAAAAGTGATAAAGACAAAAATCACGTTTCATTATGAATGCTATTTGCTGGAAAATGAGATGCTAAAAAGTTTAAACTTAACGTGCAACAAGTTTTACTTAAGCACTCTTTACCTTCGAAGCACTACATAAATAACATTTTACATACCTGAGTTCTATAATGAGCACCAAAAATCCAGCAGAATCAAGGGCTACTACATATACAGCAACAAATTTAGAGTGGGTAACACTTGCATGTAATTATGATTTAATCTTCACAGATCTATTGGAAACAGGGATTTTGCTTGAATGCAGCATTAATCCCATTATACAGAAACTACATTTTTCAGAACGCATGTAACTGCCAGCTAAGGTATGGAATTGTGTTTTTGAAAGCTCTATCACTGTAGTCCCTTACCTACAAACATCCTTAAGGAGTGACAAGGCTGACCCCCATCTCTGCTTTACCAAGAGGAATAGTTAACATTAACAAAACACAACTACTTATTCAAAGTGAATCACTTTCAGACAATGTTTGCTTAAACTACAAAAAATGTACCTCCTCCTCTTTTCTGAAATGAAAGGTTGAGAACTAATAGCTTCCAACATCATAGGCACAATAAAGAACATTTTAAGAAGCTTTTGGAGAATAACACTGAAAGACATATGAGCATCAGTTACTGGTTGTGCTTACATGACAAGGCAAGTCTTATCCAGAAAAGAATCAATGAAAAGGAAACTGAGCTTAAATACTTAGCAAAAAGACCTAACAGTGAAGAAATGTCCAACTCCAGAACACAGGTCCTTTAATATAAGAAGGCATTGCATTTATCAGTTCTTCAGAGGTCTGTTTCTTCTGATACAAACAAAATGAAAGCTGTACTCCTGAAATCCCAGCTGCACCTGTTTTCTTGTACTAATAAATGCCTCTCCTCCACACAAACCACAGACTAGAATGCTGTTTGTTCAGGAAGAGAGCCTAACAATTATGTTCAAACAGCACATCTGATGAACCAATGCCAGATAAAAGTGAAGGGCAACTGAATATAGTTTTCCTTTGTCAGAAGCTGGACCTCTAACTCCAAAATTCACTTCATGTCTCAAGACAGAGTTGAAGCCAGTTTTATTCAGATCCCAAGGGTCTGGAATGCCTAGAAAAACAGTAGCTTGATTCCCAGAAGCAATCTGGTGACTGGTTACAAGGAGAGATACTTCAAATACATGTCACAGTCACTCCCTTTAATTTGCCATTGCAGTAATTCAAAACTCACAGGTCTGTTGATTGGCATATGTATCCTTTCTCTACTGTTTTAAGCTGTTGAGCTTGACAAAAGAAACAGCCATGAGTTTTGAAAAGCAACATGGCAAGACTGGAAAAGTTCTGTAGAGAGGATTTAGTAACAAACTATCAGGTTCCCTTCTTCCTTTTAATATACCACTGGAAAAATAACAGAGACAAGAAAGAAGAAACAGTAAAATCAACCACTGGCAAATTTTTTCTTTTATATAAATATTCAGCACAGAACAGCAACAATCAGTGTAGGCAAACTAGGACTGTGAAGCAGTATTTCCTATCTATTCACACACGCATTTACTTTTACTGTTGACCAAAACTTTCACATGATCAAATTCTACTGTTTTTAAGGATAGGTATATACAATCACTCACAGTGAAGAAAAAGAATTAAATTAATGCAAGTTCCTTTTCAAAAATAAGGACTACTTACTTTTGTCACCATAACCACCACAAAGTTCTTCTCATCTATTTTGTACTCTTTTAGAGCAGTATCATCGTTAAGGATTTTACCTGGCAAATTAAACAGATACAAATTAAGTTATTTAACAGATCTTTAGATGATCTTGGGATTCCCTCACATAAACACACTTCCAATAAACTCGTAAAAACATGTTATGTAGATTTAGAAACAATAATAACCCTACAAAAAGTTTTTTGGCTATTAAGCTTTGGCAGTAGAGCTACCAGTAATTTTTCTTCTATGATGTCCACAGTACTAGTTAGTTTGAAGGCTGTTGCTGTAAGTGTTGAAGATGCTTCAAATAATTTAGAACAGAAGTGTTAAATCTAGAGAAAGATTTACTGGACCTTTAACACAGATACAAATAATGTAGAGGATACAATATGATTTATTATTATTATTATCTAGCCTACAATAAGCTTAACTGAATAACTTACGCCTGCTTACACACTCTAAACACAGTAAGAAAATTCCTTCCTGCTTATCTTCTGTCTGCCCTTTGGATGTAGTATCTACAGCTCCCTACCACAGACTAAGTTTGTCTGCATTAGATAAGTTTGCGACTTTGCAACTTTAAACAGTTTGTTCTTAGAAGAATGATAAAGCGTTAGAAAAAGCTAGAACCATTCCATATGCTGCTACCTTGACAGAAGGATGAAAAAAGTGATCAGGCAGAACCAGAAACATTTGTTTGTTATTCTATCACTTCTGACATTTCATAAGCAGAGATGGTACTGTGGCAAAGTTGATTTGCCTCAGATCTACAAGAACTCCAAGACACGTTAAACCACATAAACTTTTTTGGGGGAGATAAGCAGATTTAAAGACTGTACCATAAATCAGAAAATTAAGTCTGTCTGTCAGTAAGTTTTATAGCACCTACTTATACTGAAGAGTTTTCAGGAAATATTTTACGATTTTAATAAATTCATTTTCTGAAGATGTGCCAAGGACCGTTTCCCTATGTCAAGAGGAAAATATGCATTTTAATAAACATTCTCTGTGCCAGTGGATTACACCACTTATATGTAACCATCAGGACATAACCTTATCCTGGTGATTGCAAGGAAATCAAGCAATGCTTTTGGAACCCAAAGGAGGTGGCACTCATCTACTCTCTACTGGTTTCACCAGTCTTGCAAGTTAAATACTCAAGAATATATTTTATGTACTGTAGTAGTAGTAATACCTGTAGCAGATGGTGCAGCACCTGACTCAGAGCCTACACAGGTTTACTTACAATTTTCTGGTTTATAGGCATTTTGGGGAAGGAGCTTGCACAATGTATATACACAGATATCCTATCTTCTCAGGACACATCACTTTCAGGGTTTCTAGACTTTACCCTAACACAGATGACAACACAACAGATCTACCTCACTGCTGATTAGCATGTTTTTTTTTTTTAAATTTGCAAATGTTTTTAATAATAAATGGTATACTTTTAATCAGGTTCAGTTAGGATGTCACTCATTAAAATGAGCTTTAGAATTTTCATAGTTCGGTAAAGCAAAGTAGATCTTTTTGTATCTCTTGTCCAAGAAAAAAAAAAATACAATCAATCTTTAGATGATCTTCTATTCTAAATCTTATTTCACAGAATCACTAAGGTTGGAAAGGACCTTCAAGATCATCAAGTCCAATCATTAATCCAGCGCCACCATGTCCCCTAAACCATGTCCTGAAGAGCCACATCCACACGTTTTTTGAACACTTCCAGAGATGGCAACTCCACCACCTCCCTGGACAGCCTGTTCCAATGCTTGACCACCCTCTCCTTGTGAGAATTATATAATGCTGCAGATAAATTCTGGCTTCTGAAAATACTCAAGTCACATCATATGATCTTATACAACCTTTGATTTTTTTTAATCAGAGACATAATATTAAATGTCATGCAATTATACATACTGCACAAGGCCTTCTGCCGCCTTCTTATTTCTTTATTATACATGCGACATGTTTTTGATGCGCATTCCCTTCACTGTAGTACAAGGGACGTAAAACTTGCTAAGAAACATAGTCCTGAGGAGTCCATACAAACATGGAGAGACTCCCAACTTATCTTCAATTAGCATCTTTCTATTGTGATCACTGGTTTTAGATTATTGGAAGTGGAAAACTAATACTGTTTACAAAGCAGTACACTGAAGTAGTAAAAAGACCACCAAAATTTCTTTCAAGCACAGTTTGAGAGGAAAAAGCACTAGAGGATGTACTGGAATAGAACTTCAAGTTCTGACATAATCAAAATATGAGAACAAAAAACTGGATCTGTGAATTAGTGCCAGAATGGACCAGCCAGGTAGAAAACAGCTTAAAAAAAAAAATCTAACCACATAAGCTCAAATAAAGTAACTTCATGTCTTTATCTGATGTTAGCCTGCTTTTTACTAATACATAAGACATGTTTCTCATGACAGAGCTTAAATGTACTGAAAGTACCTTTCTGTTTAGCAAGGATTTGGTGGTGAGTTTCTTTTGGTAATGCAAAAGAAACAATCTGATTTTTAATTCTCTGAGGTATATACAGAAACACTTCAGCTATACACTGCATAAACTGAACAAAAGACAAGAATTACCCCAAAAAACATGTGATGTGATCTGCTTAAATCCTGATTTCTTGTAACAAAAACTGTTTCTACCTCACGTAGCACAGCCCACCCAGCACTAAAGCTGTTAGCGTATCATGCTACAAGAGCAAAGATAACAGGCACACATGTATTAAAAACCTGAAAAATTCTGAGTCAAAATTAAGAGTTCCCTTCAACAATGAGGTTTGCTGTTGGTTTGGTTTTGTGAGTTTTGGGGGATTTTTTTTTTATCTGTTTGCATTTCCACATTGTAATCTTTTTAAGACTTAACATTCACACCAAAGTCAAAGAAGAACATAAAAAATAAGGTAGATTCAGATACAGTATCTTCAGAATATCCATTACCTGCATAAATTAGTTTTTGGCCAGCTACTGGAAAAGCATCTTTCCCCCTTTCTGATTCAATCTTCTCTTTCAGTGCCTTCACCTAAAGCACAGAAACAGTCTTAATGAAAAAAAAAAAAAGTTGTCTCACAATACAAACCTAATTAAATACACTTTGTTCTAAGTTTTAAATACTAAAAAGTAGGTTTCAGTCATATTTTGATTATGTCAAGTCTTCCAAAGACGTCATTGTAACCACCTGCAGAGCAACATGTTCCCAAATAATCTCTCATGCTTAATCAACTTCAGTAATTTCTCCTTGACAAGTCTTTAAGTATGAGTTTACAACACAGTTAAAAACTGAGAATTTTGGCACAAAAAGCTTTTATCTACTGACCTATTTCCCCTCATTGTTCTTTCTCTCAATGCAGGGAGTACACATGCTATACACAGCTGATAGCTTTCTTCATCACTTTGACTCTTCAGGACAAGCGTGTTTTTTTGGTAAGGTCATCATGACATTTGATTTAACTCACTGGAATGACTTGAAGCCTTGATATGCAAAGACTTTTGCAAACTGTCCAGTTGTTCTATAAAAGTAGTTTTCAACTCTTTATCCTCCCCCATAATTTTTGGAGCTTTGCATAGCAATTTTAAGCCTACACATGGAAGCGTTTTGCCTTATTTACTTGCTTACTATATACTGACATATAGTCCACACTTTCAGAGCACCACATACAATAGCTCACATGACATTGTGTTAGTTGTCATTTATCAGAATACCTGTATTCTCCAGAAAGAGTGCATATCGCTATCCTGACGAGATACAGGATGTTCCTGTAGAAGCATTTCTGTACTGATACATTTGAAACCACGTTTTAAGACAAAATGTCGGTATAGAAACATATATTCTTCTTGCTTCCTGAGAGACCCTCCCTCCCAATACATGTAAAACAAAAGACAACCAATCTGTTATGAACTTACTACTACAAATTAACTCCAACTTCTTAGAGTTTATTCTTTCTGAATATTCACAAGCTTTTTTTATGAAACACTGCAATTGAGATGAATATATGTAGGTATTTAAAACACATTTTTATGTGCTTAGCTGGTTATCTTGACGGCCTAATTGGACTGGCAACTACTTGTGCCACAGGTAGCTGTAGCATTACCATTTTTTGTTATTTTTCAAAGCTGTAGCTCACTGTTAGTTGCTTCAGTAGTAAATACCCTGAAATAGTATTTTCAGGTGCTAAATGGTAAATATTTACTGAGAAGTTGAGCATCGTGATTCTCAGCATAATTAAAATATGCCATCTACTTCACATACAAGTCACACTTCCTGGCTTCACTTTATTCTTCTGTTAATGATGTCTCAGAGCTTGTGTTACCATTCCCTTCATTGGTCCCCTCACTTCTCCCTCCCGGATTTTATTTCCGTGTTTCTTTATCAATCCCTTTACCAGACTAATCCTTTCAGTTTGGATGTTTGGTCCAAAGGGTAGAAATCAAACTTTAACACTCACAACAGAGCTTCATCTTTCAGCAGTATACAAGTGTTTGTTTTATGACGCTTCATGACCCAGTACAGGAGCCCTGCAGAATCAAACCTCTTCTCTAAGCCTACATCTGATGTAGGTGTTTACATCACTAGCCAACAAGGATACAAAACACAGCATATGACTTCCCTCTATAGGACTACACCAAAACAAGCAGCCAATCCCTTTTTCCTCAGCAGATGGAGTAAGGATACTTTTTGTATTCTTATTATACAGGCTATCCCAGCACCTGCCAAAAGCTTTAGAATCCGTCTCCAGCCAGCCAGTTGCTTTTCCACAGCAAAATTAACAGCAGCTCACTGCAACCCATAAGTCTTCAGGCAGGGTCAAACAATTACTCATTTTAGTAAGAATTTGCTGGTAATGTCATCGCTCTTGTGCACTTACTTTACAAAAGTCTGTTCTACCCCTGTATTTACATTTATTTTAAAAGAATATTTCCTTGAAGACTAAAACTCTAATTTGTGAATTCCTCCCCAATCATTATTCAAGTCTGGAAGCCACTCACCTTACAACTGAACAGTCTCCTTAGGCCACAGGAGAGCCTTACACAGGTAAGCCATCAAGCAGTTTCTCCTTTAAAGTATTAGATACTTTGGGCAACTTCAGTTAAGTGTCCTGCACGCACTAGGGCAAATTAACCCACTGAATCACATTAAAAGCCTGTTATATTTTCAAATGCCTCCTTTTTAACACACTGCTTACATATTCATATATTTATGCACCTGTACATATCACTCAAAGGTGATGTCTCAAAGCTTCTTCTTTCATTCACAGTCACCATATTTGACACAGATTTGATACAAATATTGTAATGTGATCAGTGGGTGTAATCTATTTTGAGGGAGGAAATTGTTTCATGACCACTGTACTCAATCAAGCTACTGATTTCAAACATCTACTTTGTCTTCCTCATGTTTTAGTGCTCGAGTTTTATTCCAGACTACTGTCTTTTTCCTACAAGGAACAAAACCAAAATCTGTTCTCTCAAAAAAAAAAATGGTTGAACAGCTAAACAGTGGTAGTTTAGGTTAGGATACACTAAACACATGTGTTAATTACCACACAATAATTGGATCTGTGTGAAGAGTTAAGACATTTACTGTAGTAAAATACTGACAGCAAAAGTTCAATGATCCATTTGCCTTTGCTGTCCACCTTGTGTGCAGTTTCCCCATGCTACAATGTAACTGCTGTATTGCAAGTCACTTGGGGCACTGCCCTCTTCCAAAACCTTCTGTGTAACTTTGTGACAAATGACAGTGCTATGCTTTCATCCCTTTGGCAGGTGGCCCTCCACTCCAGACAAAGGCAAACTGCAGTTTACACTATGGGGACAAGGGAATTGAGAAAACTGTGTTAGTTATGACAATGGCTGAAAAACAAGCAGTATTCATAGTATCACAGAACAGCTTGGATTGGAATAGACCTTTAAAGGTCACCTAGTCCAACCACCCCCATGCAAAAGCTACATCTGTAGCTCTTCTCTTGTCCACTGATGTGGTCACTCCGTCATAGAAGGCCACTACGTTGGTCAGGCAGGACTTGCCCTTGGTAAAGCCATGTTCACTATCTCAAATCACCACCCTGCCCTCCATGTCCCTTAGCATATCTTCTAGGAGGATCTGCTCCATGATCTTCCCAGGCACAGAGATGAGGCTGACAGGTCAGTAGTTCCCACAGTCTTCCTTTCTACCTTTTTAAAAAATGGGTGCAATGTTTCCCTTTTTCCAGTCACCAGGGACTTCATCTGACTGCCAGGACTTTTCAAATATCATGGAGAGTGGCTTGGCAACCACATCAGCCAATTCCCTCAAGACCCTGGGATGCATCTCATCAGGTCCCATAGACTTATGTATGCTCAGCTTCCTCAGGTGGTCTCGAACCTGATCTTCTACACTGGGAGGAACTTTGCTCCTCCAGTCCACATCTTGTGGTCCAGCCACTCGAGAGATGTGGGAAGAAAGGCTGCCAGTGAAAACCAAAGCAAAAAAGTTGCTGAGTACCTCAGCAGTCTCATCCATTGTTACCAGTCTGCCAGTCTTGCTCATCAAGATGGGTATGTTTTCTTTGACCTTTTCTGGCTGACATACCCATAGAAGCCCTTATTATTCCTTGTGTCCCTTGCCAACTTCAGCTCCAGTTGCACCTTGGCCTTCCTGACTCCACCCCCACACACTTGGGTAGCATTCCTGTACTCTTCCCAGGATCCCTGACCCTGCTTCCACGGCCTATACATTTCCTTTTTTGCCATTTAGTTTGCCCAGCAGGTCTCAACTCAGCCATTCCAGGCTTTTGCCTTCCTTTCCTCATTTCTTACACCTGGGGATCAACAGCTCTTGCGTTCTATGGAAAGCGACCTTAAAGGTCTGCCAGCTCTGTTCTGCTCCCTTGTCCCTGAGGGCAGTTTCCTAGGGGGTCCTACTGACTAACTTCTCGAAGAGCTGGAAGTTTGCTTTCCTAAAATTCAGGGTTCTGACTCTTCGCCTGCCCCATATCCCTTAGGACTGCAAAACTCCACCAGTGCATGACCATTGCAGCCCAATCTTGATGTCACCAATGAGCTCAACTGCATGGGTGACCATCAGGTCCAGCATCTCATGCCCTCTGATAAGGCTGTCTACTACCTGGCTTAAGAAGTTATCCTCCATGCACTCCAGGAGTCTCCTGGACTGCCTACAGCTTGCGGTGCTACTTTTCCAGCAGATGTCAGGGTGGTTGAAATCCCCCAGCAGGACGAGAGCATCTTGATGTCACCAATGAGCTCAACTGCATGGGTGACCATCAGGTCCAGCATCTCATGCCCTCTGATAAGGCTGTCTACTACCTGGCTTAAGAAGTTATCCTCCATGCACTCCAGGAGTCTCCTGGACTGCCTACAGCTTGCGGTGCTACTTTTCCAGCAGATGTCAGGGTGGTTGAAATCCCCCAGCAGGACGAGAGCCTGTGAGCACAACACCTCCTATAGCTGGAGTGAGAAGGCTTAGTCAGTAGACAACCCTTGATTAGGCAGCCTGTAGTAAACACCAACCATGAGGTTCCCTTTGTTTCCTTGGTTTCTGATTCTTACCCATAAGCTTTCAATCTGCTCATGGCTATTCTTAGCTCTTCAGACTCTATCCATTTCTTGACATAGAGGGCAACCCCTTTGCCCCTCCTGCCTTGCCTGTCCCTTCTGAAGAGCCTGTAGCCATCAGCAGCTGCACTCCAGTTATGGGATTTGTCTGACCAAGTTTCAGTCATGGCAACTAGGTTGTAGCTTTCTAACAGCATGGTGGCTTCCAACTCTTCCTGTTTACTGCCCATGCTGTGTGCATTGCTGTACAAGGCCCTGAAGTCTCTTTTGATCATCCTTGGACTACATCTTGCGGCTTCTTCGTCATCCACATGGAAAAGCAATAATGGGTAACCGCGAGGCCTGTATCAGGTTAGGAAGTTTCCTAGTGAAACTTAAGTTTCCTTAACCCAGACCTCAGAAAGGCAGCAGACTTTCTTAAGAGGAGGGTCTGCCTGGCATATTGGACCCTCTGTCCCTTCAGAAGGGAGTCACCTACAACTATAACCTTTGTTTTCTTTCTCATGGAGGTGGTCATGATACAGAGCATAGGCCTTTCCAACTTTGGCAACATCTGTGGTGTAGATGGACCATCATCCACATCACCCATTGACTGACCTTCCACATCCCGAGTCTCATATCTTTTGTACAGAGGCACGTGGGAAAGCAGGTAGGCAAGGAACAGGTTCACCTGCCACTCTGAGCATGGATTTGCCTCTATTTGCTCCTTTCCTTTAAACTACTGCCTTCTGCCTCATGCAGGGGAGGATACAGGACCCCCTTGATTTTTTATTTTTAGTGGCTGTTCCTATTTCTCTCTCAGGGAGGGCAAAGCATGGTTCCATCAGGCCACCTCTTTCTCAGACTCCCTAACACCCCTTAACCTTTATACTTCCTCTCACAGGTCTGCCACCAGGCTGAGCAGATCATCCACCTGGTCACACCTCACACAGTTGTTCTCACTACTGCCATCCATTAGCAGCCGGAGGCTCTGACACACCCCGCAGCCTGAGACCTGGATGGCTGCATGTTTCCATGGGACTTCTGTCTGGGTTGCCACATACATTCTGGCAAGTGCCGAGGACATGCCTTCCTGCCAGGTGGATACCATAGCTAAGCTCCTTCTGAGAGGATGATGGCCATCAACTGGACTCACACCTTGTGCTGGTAGGGTGACAATGCCCTTACTGCAAAACCTGCTCTCCTCACAGCACTCCCCAGGCTGCTTTGTATACGTGTGGGGGTGGCCACCATTGCTCTGGCAGTGCCCAGGTCTTGTCAATATCTCCTCCAAGAGCTGCCAGGGGGTCTCTCCACCATTCTGGCACTTCCCTGCCTCAGGAAACACCCTGTGCACTGAGATCTGCCATTCCAATGCAGATCGGGTGCGCTCCAGAGTGACTCACAGGGGCTTCAACTTTATACTGTAGTTCTAGGACAGCTGATACTGCCACACTGGAGGGTGGTGTTGCCTCATATTTAAACCTCAGTAGTATACAGTTAATCTCTGATCCCCACTGGGTTTTCACACAAGTTAGACATGGTTGGTGAAGGGTCATCCAACCACCGCCTGACTTTCCAGTTCTTTGACATGACTATGTATGGGACAAAGCAAATCTCTGTCATTCCAGTATTGTGTTTGGTGTTCCATTTGGTTCCATTTGAGTTTCAGCCAGCACTGATCAGTGATACCTGTAGTTCTATTACTAACGCTCCTTCTAAGAGATCAGGTAGTTGAGGTATCAAAGGGGTATTATTACTCATTTCTACAGTAGCAATGCTAAATACTCAATGTCTTTGTGGATCCTTAAAATACCTGTTCCTCAAAAAAGTCAGTGGCCAAGATGCAAAGGTAAGTCCCATTACAACATCATGAGGTTTACAGTTTCCTTTAGCAAGACCAAATTCAGATTCTACTACATGCAGCTTCTGCTGGCCTGTATAGAATAAGAGTTCGTATTAACCTACCTATGAGTTACTGCTATCCTATACATACTACAAATACACAAGCTCCAGGAAGAGTACTGTATGCACTGCCTGCTAGACTCCTACTCCAAGCATGAACCCTCAGGTTCCAGAAGATTACACCCAGGAAAACTAATTCAGCAGCCACAGGCAGTCTCAGCCTCATGGATATTCAAGAGACTGCACTTCAGCTGCAGAATCCCCTTCCACCATCCAAAAGCCCCCTTTGGATCCTACCGCTGACATCATTTTTATTAATATTGTGGTTTAGGTCAGGACAGACTAAACCCATACATTAATTACTATGCAATAATTGGATCCATGTGAAGGAGTTTAGTATTCGTTGCCTCGGTGAAGTAGTTCTTACCAATGCAAATACTGCTACAAAGATATGTGAAAGCAGTCATCTCTGCTTCTCATTTGCTTTCTGACAGGATCGGCGCTGCGAGCACGCTGCTCCTCCTGACTGCTGAGCTGGTGGTGCCAGCTGCCCTGGCTTGGAGCATGGTGACTCCAGCTGTGCAAGCTTGGTCCCAGGCATCCCTAGAAGTCCTCCACAGACAGGTGTCACAAACCACAGTGGTACTCAACACAGGAACAAACTACACATTTGCTCCTCAAAGAACAGAGGCAATCCTTGGCTAAAGCCTGACAATACTGTGGCCATAACTAGCTTCTTAAAGGAACTAAAAAAACCCTGGAAATGCTGAAAAGAGAAGGTCATTACAGTTTTCAATACTGATTGCCTTTATTCTCCGTACCTGTCATATATGTCAATCAGTTTAAGAACAGATCATGCACTAAATTCAAACACAAATTACTTCAGACACATTTCTCCATCTGACAGTTTACAAAAATCTAAAACAATTTTAAGTTTAACATAGCTCAGCTAATTTACAGTATTTTGCTAACTATTTCTATAGACACACTGCAATTTGCAAAGGCAAAGATCATTAACATAGGCCTCTCATTTAAAGGAACATTCACTCTTCTGTGAACTTTTGCCAAAGACATCTAATATGTTATGGTGATTGACAGTGACTTAAGACATGAGCCCTGAAGTATTAATTAAAAATTCTGTAATGTATTTCAAGTTGTTCCTATAAAACTGAAAATATACAAAACAGACAAGTAACTTCCAGAAAATACACGTCAGAATATTGTTTAACTGTTTTATATAGAATAGTAATTTATATAAGTGAACCTGTCATCTCTCAAATTAATTCACTTCAGTGATCATACCTATTCAAAGGAGCCAACGAAAAGGACTTTACTTAAGCCAACTCAGCTACTACAACTTGAATCTGCAAGAGAATACAGTCATATGCAGATGTCAGCATTCTCCTGCTAGAGGCAGAAGTTCAAGAAACACTCAGGTTATCATAAGTTTTTATAAGCAGTGCCTGCCTGTTCTTTTGGCTTTCAACACTGCCTATCCTAAGAGGACAAAACCACTTCATTTGCAGAGGATACAATACTAATTCTCAGGATTATCTATAACATCAGATACATCCAATTTAACAGCAGTGTGCTAGTGGCATAAAATTCCCTTTTGTAGTTCTAACTGGAGTAACCGAACACTTAGCACCCACTAAGAAGATCCCATGCCCTTAATTCTGCCGACAGAAAAGAATACATGAGCACTCCCTAAACAACCTGTGTGTCACCAGACACAATAGTCTGAACCACCTTCATTTAGTTTTAAACTGTAAATGCTCCCTTTTCACAAAAAAAGAAACAAGAGAGGTCTTCTCACTGCTCTTCAGAAAGGCAGCGGCATCTTCCAGCTAGTGGTACAGTGAGCCGCTGAAAACAGCAGCATCCTAAACTTTGCCTCTAACAAATTAGGTTGCTGAGAATCCAGACTTCAGCATCACCATCAGTTCAGGCTTAAATGAAAATTAATTTTGGGAAAGCACACCCAGCACATCCATCCGTCAAAACTACAAAGCAGCTTTAAGATATACAGTGAATCTCTGCATCCACAACATCATGATGTATTTTTCTCAAAAGTACAGATCCATAAACCAAACCATCAGGCTACCTAGCTTTATTCCACTTGATCAGAGTTCAAAATATTTCAGACCTCAGAGAACCCCATTTTCTTCTGCTGTAATAAATTTCACAGTAGAATAAAAAGAACCCATACTTTGTAACAACACATTTATAAGAATGAGCATCAACTGATCTGCAAATACTTACCCTAAAGATTCAGAAACAGCACACTTACACACTACAGAGCCTAACTTAGAAGACAAGATCATTTTCTTCTGCACCCCTATGAATTTAGATAGGAAACTCCCTACTATTCAGCTGTACTGAACACAATATCCTGCAGAATATATGCCTTGCAATCTGTTTAATTAAGAGTCAGAGCTGATCCAACTCCTAAGTGAAAAACTGAGGTCTTCCAAAGAAATACCGGTCCTTAACTGCATCCCAGATAGGCATCCTAAAAACAGGTTACATGAAACTGCTAGTGCTAAGTTGCCCAGTTGTTCCCTACAGTTATTTTAGCCAGCTAAGCAAGCAGGCCATGCTGGGCTCCATCTAGGCAAATGGTTCCTATAGCTCAGTACATTAGGCGAACGCCTTCCCTTCCCTCTCACACACCAATTTCCCTTTCTCTTACCTTATACACTATGCTAAAACAGAAGAGGAAAAAAAATCAGTTGATTCAAAGACATTTCATAACTCCTAATAAAAAAGCAAACAGTATACTTCTATCAATTTTAATTTATAATTACACAGGCTGTACAACACAGGGAAGGTAAATTTTTTTAATTTCTTGAGATCTATAGAGAAACGGAATAGGACCCTTTCCAACATCAAGCCACATACCCACCTCCCACACCACAATGTTCACCAAGAGTCTGATCCACCTTCACCTAAAGGCAAGTAAGGTAATTTGCTGCTTCTTCTACTACAAGGCTGCTACAAAGTTTATTCTGATGTTGGAAGCCTTTTCCTAATTTCCAGCCCAAAATTAATTCATGGACTATTGATACTTACTTGTTCTTATGCTGATGTTATAATTCAAGCATGAATAGCCTTCCCACCTCCCATGGTGCTTACCACTGTAAAATATTTATACTGCATTACCAAATCATCCTCCCATCTTGTGAGCTAAGCTAGCCAGGGCCCTTCAGTTTCTTTTCATATGGGAGTCTCTTGCATACCCTCCTAGCACCTCTTTCCTCCACCTGCTCTGGGAGAAATCCTGTGGGAACAGGTGGCCAGCACACATGTAGTAGATTGGCATCATTACTCTTAATGGAAGTTCCAG